CTTCTTTCTGAACAGCGACCGATGAGACGATGACTGGTGTATTGATGCCTCCACGAAAATTGGGGAAGTTGGTTTTGGGCAAACAACGATGAATTGATCGTTCAATCTTCAACTACATTGACACACGCTCTATATAAACTCAAGTGTTTTTTCCTTCTAACTTGGAAAGTACTTGTTGTACTGAGACCAGAGTCAGGTCAAAAGAACAAATTGATTGTCCGTAGCATCAAAATAATTCTGGGATCGAAGTCGTAGGTCACTGATGGCTACTTATTTATTTAAGGTTGGTGTTTAGCAGACTGAACGCAACATGACAGCATACCAAAAGGCTTGGATGCTTGGCAATCCACCCTCAGACTAACAAGTTGACTTAAACAGCGAAGGATGGCATCTACTGTAGACCGAAAAATGCCACAAACTGGTAATTCTTGGTACTTATATACCGCTACACGTTTGTATGACCTTAAGCTGAAAATTGAGCTCCAAGTGCAACAGCATGGCCAAATAAATTATTTTTGCACGGGGTTCTGAAAAATAAGACATCTGACGTCGACACAAACCCGTTTAACGATGACGGCAAAATAAAAGTGGTCCAAAGAAAAGCGGAGGTATCAGCGAAATACTTATTCAACGCCTTCAAGCAGAAGGCATCACCCGCATAACATCAGCTGTACGTGCATCAGAGGGAACGATGTCAGATTCCTCTCATATCGAAGAAGATATACCATTCCCACCCCTGAGTAAACTTGACACAGAGCCCAAGGCTCCTCAAGCATCTGGAATACCAAATATTCAGCCCACTGAATGCGACATCTGGCTACCTCTGTTGAGTGGGCAGTTGTTCAGCTATTTAAAAGAAACCTCCATTCACAAACAAGTATCTAAACCATGTCTTTCAAACTGAATACCTGCCAATCTCACCAACAACATGATCAAGTTGCTGCAAAGGATTTTCAAAAAGCTTTCATGGCATATCTGTTAAACAACTTTTTTCATAGTACATCAGATCTACCGGAGAAGCCTGTGACCTCTGACAAATATTCTCGCAGCAAGGAGGGAGGTTGGTGCTAGTGTGGTGAGAGCAGGCTGCTAGCCGATTGGTTGGCACTAATCTACGTTAAGGTCTAGGTCACTAATATGGGCCGTGAGAAAATATGAACAAGCCTGAGTAAACAACCAATCAGAAGCCTGCGTTTGTCTACCTAAACAACCAATCAGAAGCCTGCGTTTGTCTACCTAAACAACCAATCAGATGACTGCGCTTGTCTATAATAATGTAGTTGAAAGATGTATAAATACGTGTTGATTTTCATAATAAAACGATCTGTTGCCTGGCCCTTGTCTTCTGTTGTTACATTTGGTGTCGCTGCCTACCGACAAATGAAAAGCCTATACCCTGCAGTTTTTGATGGAGACATATGGATCTTCGGGCAGGACTTCAAGGCTTCTGCGCAGTTGAGTGGCGTTCAAGATCTGTCAGCGATGGAGCTGCTACTTGAGACGCTGCTGGGAGGTCGGGCGAAAGCAGCATATGAAGGTGTGGGCCGAAGTATGGACGAATGTTCGACAGGGTCAGGCAAACAGTTTCCAAAGTGGGAAGGACCATATATGGTCACTTCGAGATGGGGTTACGCAGACACAGTCGCAATGGTGAACAATGAGAGGCGCGTGAACGTCAGCGAGCTCCAGAAATGGATACAGCGAGACAAGCCAACGATGACGCCTGCACCAAGTAGATCAAGCCGACTTCAGTCGCACGTATTTGACGGGGGGACGAGTGTGGTGAGAGCAGGCTGCTAGCCGATTGGTTGGCACTAATCTACGTTAAGGTCTAGGTCACTAATATGGGCCGTGAGAAAATATGAACAAGCCTGAGTAAACAACCAATCAGAAGCCTGCGTTTGTCTACCTAAACAACCAATCAGAAGCCTGCGTTTGTCTACCTAAACAACCAATCAGATGACTGCGCTTGTCTATAATAATGTAGTTGAAAGATGTATAAATACGTGTTGATTTTCATAATAAAACGATCTGTTGCCTGGCCCTTGTCTTCTGTTGTTACACTAGCTGATCAGTAGATGTGATGGTGGTCACTAAGGTGAACCGCCCCATTCTGCAGGAACAGCAGTATGCAATTTGAAGGCTCGAGATATTTCTGATTTTTATGAGGGCTTAGATCTTTATCTTGAAGAAGATAATAATGAACGCCTAGACGGATAATGCTTCTGCCTTTAAATATATGCCATTCGCTCAGCCTATTGTTGAGATGCGCCCGCGTGGGCTCTGCACAGATTTATGGGGCATCTTATAAATTAACTTGCTATCCGTTGGCGGATCTTTAAATACCACTTCACAATGTCTTATCTCATTCATTTTCTAATAAAGTCTTTACTTGATCCTCATTATATTCCATTAAACCGAACATTTTATAGCTCTTTATGAATTCTATTGGACTTATTCTATTCCTATTCTCTGTAGGGTAACAGTTGTGCACCAAATGCACAAAAAGGTATAAAATAAATACAACCGGTATGAGGATAAATGTATTAAAACCAAAAGTGAACATCATGATAGTAGGACATTTATGGGTAGCATTATACATTGCAAATGAACGTTGTCAGCCTACGGATTAATTACTTCCCCATTCTGTTTCCTATATAAATGTATTTATTAATGATATATTGCACCTGCTTAATTTATTACACTTTAATGATTCACATTAGCACTTTAACTTTTCTAAAACAGCTTTCAATCACTTGTGAAAGTTGTACTTACCTCAATATTGGTTGGTTATCGTATAGATACAACCACGGGTTGAAAACGAAACGAAGCCAATTTTCCCGCGCAACTGTAAAATTCAATAACTATACAGCCTGGTTCAGACAATGAGGGTATTTATATATACATATCAAATATTTAGCTGTTGAAACATTAATAACTTGTGTACAATCTACAATTAGACATAATATCATACTTGATCGTGCATGTAAAAATGGCATGCATTTTCATGTAAATTTATACGTTTATATGAAGATATAAATTATTATCATTATTATAGGATGCTGTGTCAAGTCGAGTGACAATGATGCATCCTCCGACGTCACTTTCATGGACTTCAGCAAGGCTCTCGACTAAGTATCTCACTGAAGACTTCTCAAAAAATTGGAAAGTCTGGGGGCTGAATGCAGTTTTCTGAGCTGGATTAAGGGATCACTTGTTGGTAGGGCACAAAGATACAATGCCAACTCAAAGCTATCCTCCTAGACAGCAGTACACTGTGGGTTCCCTCATATTTACTATTCGTATCAAAGAATTACTTGAGTCATAGAATCCCTAATGGTCTTCAACTTATGTGACCTAAAAAAATCGACAGAGATAAAGAATGATAGTTATATCACGTTTCAAGATCTCAACGTACTGTTTTAATGCCCCCAACCCATGCGGTGAAGTGGGCGACCATGAGCAATGTATATGTAAGGGTCAAGTCGTATGGATTAAAGGTTGTGGCACTCCCATCAGTTTAGACCAATATGTCTAGGTGTCTAGGTGAGTCACGACTTATAAGCTACGATATACTGGCATGTGATATAAGCCGGAAGTTTTGGATAATTACGAGCAGTATGCATGGAGCTCACTGGAATCCAAAGAAAATACCCATCCAGACATGGATATAAGAACAACAAAGTTCGACGAAGAGTTTCTTTTCGGCTATACAGTCGCACTTATACAAAATTATTTTGTGTTATTATTAGTATTGTCAAGCAAAAATAAAAATTTAATAAAAGTACTATCCACGTCATCAAAATGCTTCAAAACTGTGATGAATAATCAGATTGTAACTACGGAGGGGTGGGGGACGAAGATTGGTAAGTATTGACAAACGTTGGGTCACATGAAATAGAGTATTGGTGAATGAGCATTGAGACACTTGTTCAAAATGAATTATGAGAAAAGTAGAAGGAGCCAATAAAATGTTAGTTTAGAAGAAGATGTCACTAAGTTGTCACACAAAAATCCAAAATCATTATCAATGCAGTAGAAGGTAGAAGGAGGAGTTGGAGAAGTTTCTTCTTTGCTCATAAATCAGGGTTTTCTATCCGGATCACTAAAACCTTGGAAATGCAAATTATACGGAAGCTTACCGTTTTCGCGAGACTTCTGTGAATGAATTTTCCTCACATGTTGAGTGACCAGTGCTGACTATGTGTTCAACTATAGAACCCTTTTTTGATCAACTGTTACCTTTTCGTAGCCAAGCGGGATGTTGTTCTCAGACTCTTTTAGATAAAACAAGCATCGAAAGACCCATAGATATCTCGCTCCACGTTAGCAAGTAAATCGGTAGATACACCGTCTGTCAAATACTATGGTTTATCTATGGAGTTGCTGAATACCAACAGATGGCTCGAGAATGCTAGTCGTAGTGTAGTGGCAGAGAATGACCACTGACATACTGTGTTGCTTATATACCTCCCTGTTGATGTCAAGGCCGGAAAATTTCCTGTAGACAGCCAGCCTTGGCCTTAAGAGGGACTCACATTCTAGAAAGAACTGAAGTGAGAATAGCAAGAACGACTTTTGGTATAACCATTTAATCACAAGGTGAAAAATTTGCGGGTTTAAATCTCTTCCGATTGTCACATTGCAGACATAGAGGATACGTTGAAATTTTCAAATTCACAGAAATGTTTATGAAACATATCTGTCTTCTTTTCCCCTCCAACCATGTCCAGATATTTCACAGGGCATAGCAGAGGAGTCCAGAAGCCAAGTAAGAACTATATCTCTGTGGAGTACTGAATCTCCCACCGGACCCTTTTAACCAACTCCTGGAAGTGGTGTCAAGTTCTTAAGGGGTAAATATAAGCACACAACATTATTTGGACACGGTAAAGACTGGGTTCAAGACTTGCATACTCGATCGATAAATTACTAATTCGTATGAACGACACTCAATATTGGAACTTGAAATTTGTTACTATGACAGTCTTAAAGGACTACTTTTCAAAATGTTGTCACTACCGCCCAATCAAATCACATTTTTTTAATTTCACACATTTAGGAGACTGACACACTAGATATATAAAAAATTGAATTTCTCGGTATGTTATATGAAAATTTCAGAATTATTTACTTTTAAACTCAATCAAAATTAGTGATGATCGATCATCACCAATTGGCATCCAAATTATATATCATCGATGATATACGTTGTATCGACATAGGTTCACCTTATATGATTCCAACTGGTTGTTGATATGGCATATAAGCCATTCTCGAGGAAGCACAAAAACACATGCTTTCACTGTCCACAATGACATTTGTTATTGTGAGTTTAGAATGTGGCTGTGACTGTATGACTGATATTGACTTAATTCTGGATGTGAAATATATATATCATTTTATAACAATGTTTATGCATGAGATGTCTGGAGAATAAACCATAGTTGCTTAAATCAGGAACGACATTTTATAAGTTCTAAAGAATTAGCATTTAAGAGTGCTGAACAAACTCAGATGATGAATACAGCTAGTAAATTAAGTCATTTTTTGAAAATAAAGTAAACTGTTCTGCAAAAAATAGAATTTTACTTAAAATGCAGTGTAAAATATATTTTATCGGGACCGACAGGCAATACACACCAGTCATCAAAAATGAAAATAAACCTTTATGTTGCAGTGAAATAGTAGACTTATTGTGGTGTGAAATTTAATCTATGACTCATTGACCAGGAAAGTTGACTATTGACTAGTGGTTGATGTTCTTAAATCCTACCGTAGCTGCTAAGATTTACGTGGTCAGGTACTAAAAACACCGCAAGTCGTCTCAAAAAGTGAAAGTTTATTTTGTCTGTGCCCACTCTAATCAATGAATCAAAGGATCACTTTGAAGCAGCATTTTACTCAGTTTGATATGCTTATAAATGTTAAGCATAAATGCCGAGTACAAATGTCCTTGAACCGTCAGTAAGCGGTCACACTAGTTTTAATTTTGATTTTAAGCATTTTAGGTTTCTGTATACTAATAATTGCTGAACTTTTTATTAACTTTTACCACGTGAGGAGTTTGAGATTTCTTGTAAATCCATTAATGATATGATCTTTTATCCAATGATTTTATCCTGTCATGTAGTACAATTTCTTATTACTCAGTGAAAATACTGCATATGACCTATGGTCATCGTAGTTATTAATACCATTATTATCACAATCAATCACTGGGGAAAATTACTGCAGTTATTTAATCTGAAAATGGAACATGTTTATAGATATTAAAAGTCACTGAACTAACGAACAATTAATTCAATAGTTTGAAATTTAGTCAGAAATCTCCGGTTGGTTGCACATAATCAGAAATATCATTATGCAAAACTTGTAATTAGAGCGATAATGTTTTCAAGATTACACTTTTCGAGTCATATTCATTCAGTGATTGTTTAACAAAGACAAAAATACTCAAATGTCGCTGTAGTCTCGGTAACATTATATTTTTGAGGGAAACTAAACTTGATTTTTTTCATCAGTACAAGGCTTGAACTGTTTCCCCAACATAAACTTAAAGATGGCTAAAATATTTTAACGGATACGTTTTTCACTAAGAATGCCTTTTAATTGATATCGTGAATGACTCAAAACTACCTGCCACAGTCAGTTGGGAAGTTTAGAATTCACATTTTATTTCACTATCTGAGGCACAGTGGTTAGGACTCTCGCCGACCATGCACATGGTCCAGGGTTCGAGCCCACGCCGGCGCACACCTGATATCTATGGTCGGCCTGCAAAATTTGGGCTACCGATATCCACGCTGAAAATTCCATACTTGTACCAAAAATACAGTGTGGAATGAAGCTGCAAATCAAAAAAAAAAATAAAGCTTACTGGAGTTAATAATTAATTACTGTTAACTGCTAATTTGAAAGAGAATACTCTACCTTGATAGACGTTATTTATAATATGTTATCCTCGCTAACTTTCCATATAAATGTCTTAATTCCTATTGCTTATTCATCACGTATTCATTTTATGTGCTTCCGACAATCAATTGCATCAGTGTAAATTATTTCTTTTCAATAAAGTTTCTCCTGCTCACGCTTTGAATGATGCATGAAATCACTAGCATGTCGTAAATAAAATTTTAATTAACTACTAAACACCATGATATATTTTTATTTCAGTCATGTTCTGGGGTAAATTACTAATCTTAACTGAAATGGGAAAACCATCATTGTGCGTTGACGATTGTAGCTAACTTGTTTATGCTAAAATGGTTTATGTAATACCGAATGAAATTTTTGTTGACATACAAACCTGATTTGTTCATTATAATGAACTGGTGTACTAATGCCAGGACCAGAACCTACAAAACATGTTTATGCCTCAATCAAGACCGTTGACGTATTTTTGCTTGTGGAAATGTTATGTGTAAAACTTTTCCTTCAATTGCCATGTCCAAAATAAATAGCAGCAATTGGAGATGTCAGCTTTAATTTCAGTTGATTGACTGCCCTTAAACCATTAACTTTATTTTACAGAAAAATACATTGTATCACTTTGTTGGACATCATAACCATTTTGTAACCAACAAAGTAATTGAATGAATATGAAACATAAAGTTCCAGATTTTACAAATCTTCATTTAATTATGCTCTCTCCGGTAATCCTGGGCCACTCTAATTTCGTTATGTTTTTCCTCTCTACTTTCGTGTGCACACTCTCGTTTGTTAGGTTAGTCAGGAGTAAATATTAAGGGAATTTTCGACCGCCTCCCTGAATGTTCTTGGAGCATCAAAAGTGGCGTAAACAGAATAGTTTAAAGTGTACCAAAGACTGAGATAAGCGGGCTTTAAGGGATCAGAAAACCATTTGAGGATATTATGGAAGTCCCTGGTGAGCAAGCGGAGATAAAAAACAATAAACCAGTCATTCTTCTACTTACTGGTGTTTGTAAGCAACTTTTAGAGAGCTGATACACCGTCAGATATTCAAATACAGATGACTCAACAGTGAAACCAGAAATGCCACCCCTAAATTATTCAGAAATAAGCGGACCTACCAGTGGTTTGCATCATATAAATTGACTGGTTACTAGAGAAGAAATATTGTCAAACGTTCACTCCAAAATGATGGCAGAGAACCTGCATCCAATCAGAGAGCACCGTGATAGTGTGACATTCAACTTACTAATAACATTTAAAACAATTAGTCCCTTTTATAAATTTTGATAGCGTTATTAGAAGACAGAGACTATCTGAAAAATGTGATGTATTAGCGCTATACATTTCGAACAATCTGATCACACATTTACCTGTCAAGTCAATATATATAGAAAGGTTAAATTAAACAAAATGAGAGAAAACGGAATTAAGAATAATTAACACAAACGTTTGGTAATCCAATCAAATAAGGATTACCAAGGTAGGTTAAGAGTAATGACGAACTGTTTTTGAATACACAAGGGGGGCTTAAGTCTATGAATAGCTATAGCCTCAGCGTATTTCAGTAAACGCCCCTAACCGTTTTTATAGATGACCTTAAAGGCTGAGTTGACATCAATCTTATGGTTCATCTCGATTAGATGTTTAACTATAGACGAATTTGGTAGTCTGCCACCTGCATCTATTAGCTTGTCACAATTCATGTTTTTCTAACCATTTTGGGATATGCTCTCCCACCCTCACGTGCAAAGCGCGATTACTCCTCCCTATGTATGTATGTCCACACACACACGAAAATTGGTAAATTGTATGGGATGTGATATAATCACTTATGCACTTTTGGAGTTTACAGTGAAGCATATTTTTGGCTTTTTCCACAATTACAAGCTGGGCTGCATAGTAGGCTCTACGGATGATTGAATTCAGCCTTTGTCTCACAATCCTACTGTTTATTTCCCCGTTATATGGTAATTTGATAAAAACCTTTTTCTTAGGGACGGTATGGATTGTAGGTTTAGAGGCTAGTTGACATCTGTTAACTCAGCCTTTGAGTTTATCTATAAAAACGGTCAAGGGCGTTTACTGAAATACGCTGAGGCTATAGCTATTCATAGACTTAAGCCCCCCTTGTGTATTCAAAAACAGTTCATCATTACTCTTAACCTACCTTGGTAATCCTTATTTGATTGGATTACCAAACGTTTGTGTTAATTATTCTTAATTCCGTTTTCTCTCATTTTGTTTAATTTAACCTTTCTATATATATTGACTTGACAGGTAAATGTGTGATCAGATTGTTCGAAATGTATAGCGCTAATACATCACATTTTTCAGATAGTCTCTGTCTTCTAATAACGCTGTCAAAATTTACTAATAACAATAGAATATTGACGACAGAACTCAATCAGACAATGCTACTCACATTACTGTAGAGTGACCACAATCTGTAATTTAAAATGGTTAGTGATGTCATGTTTATAAGATGGACAAAATATTGAAAATTTTCACTTGTTGTTTTGAATTTTTTAACTAAATAAAGCAACACTTTGATCCGAAATATATTTTTTAAACTTTCATTATTTAGTTGCCTTATGCCAACTGAACTATTTGAGAAGAATCATGGTCATCCTTATGGTAAATACTCTTTGTTACTTTTAAACTAAAAAACACTATAAATTTATTATTTTGGATTAAGAGTCAAATACAAAGTGCAACAACAGTATAAAAACAACATGCTGTGATGCAGACGACAAAGAGAAGAATACAACCCAAGATAGTTACACAACAGTGAATGAAAACAACACAGGTTAGGCTATAAAAATTGAATTATTACATATCTTTAAATTATTATGCATCTCTTAGCTGAAAATTAGAACGAGACATTTAAACCAGCACTGTTTTTTCAGTTTAAGTTTTACTATAATACACACCTTTGAGTATAAATAAATGTCAGGTTTAATATTTTTTTTGATGGAGTATTATTACTGCAGCATAGCTTAAGCCGAATTTCACTGAAAACTACTATTTGTTTCTATGTCTTCTTCTTAAGTCTTTTGGTATCGGCCAAATAAAATGCATTCAGTTGACAGTTGCTTTATTTAACTGTTCTGTTACTTAATAATACACACTTGCAAGGTGTATGTGCTATAGGTAGTTTGTATAAAAAGTATTGTGGTAGTGTTGATGATGATGATGATGAACTGTAAACAGAAATGTTCATTTTGATCCACGTAGTCTAAGCACACTACATGTAGTACATTTTCCCTAATATGCTTAAACCGAATACAAAAATAGCTCTTTATCATTTCATCCTTTAAAGTGAAGAGTGATGATGATGAGTGATAAGAATGATTTTTATTCTTATTGCTAGAATTTCCATTAATTTGTGTTCTCACTTCTACGTTGGTCTTATTTAGGATGATTTATAACTACATAGGATGGTGTATGTTCGTGAAGTGATCATGTTTTTGTGAAGAAAGTGAAGTTGAGAAGTCATAAATATCTTTTTGGGAACATTTTTGAATCAAATTTTTAGTGGGAGTTCAGTATGTGGATACATTAGGAAAAGAGGTAGTCAAGAGCTAGGTCTTAAAATGTTTAAGCGTTGAGTGTTAGGTAAGGAGTGAAAGTCGGTAGGTGAGGTTGGGACATATGCTGCTCATCCCCAGCCATCACCTTCGTCAACAGGAAATGTTAGCTGATATAGAATCAGGTTGGAAAAGAGGAAGTGGTGGTCAGAGTAAAACTTTGAATCAGTCTATGAAATCTTTGACAGTGAGTTTGAGCCACGTAAGGAAGTGTTGGCTACACGGACGAGCTCCATGAGACTCTAGGAACCAACGGCTTAAAAATTATCAGATATATGGCTGAAAATCGTTCTCACAGGCGTAGATGTATTCACTCTTCGCGATCGTTCATATCTAATAAACCATAATGTCTGTTTATGTTATTTTTTTCTCCCGCAATTTTCTGCTTATTGTAGTCCTTTCGGACCACTTTACCTCTTTTGTTTGTCTTTGTGTGCTACATGGAGTGTGGATGCTTCAACTGCTGAACTTCTGTTCACAGTCCTATGTTGAAACTCAGTCAGTCGGTCGGTCAGTCAGATAAACTGCTTCTTCTTCAATAGAAGGTAAAGAATAGGGTATCGCTATTAATCGTCGGTGCGTCGGTGGCACAGTGGTTAGGACTCTCGCCGACCATGCATGTGGTCCGGGGTTCGAGCCCACGCCGACGCACACCTGATATCTATGGTCGGCCTGTTAATTTTGGGCTACCGATATCCACGCTGAAAATTCCATACTTGTACCAAAAATACTGTGTGGAATCAAGCTGTAATCAAAAAAGAAATAAAAAAAGAAATAATCTCAAGTCATTTCAAAAAGTGATAAATGAGCAGTGAGAAGCAGGCAGTCTGGCTTTTTGTTCCACAAGAAACAATCAGTTTCCCTGAGTTTGAAAATATGCTTTACTAAAACTCTCGAAACAGTTTATATAGGGATAGAGTAGGACAACATCCAACCGGAGACGTTACTTAAAGTGTCTAAATAATCGTCGTTTGTACCCACAAAACCCAACCTAATAAATTCTCATTGCCTAAACAGTTGGAAACAATCGTCAGAAAGTATTATATTCAGACTCTAACAATTTTTGAGAATCTGCTATTTAATTAACGTGCTAATAAGTACCATGCCTTGCAACCAGAATTCATTTGTATAACGGTGAATATAGGTAATGCGGAGTAGCGAACCAATTAATCTAAATAAACAAGTGGTAAAAGTTCAGTTTCCAGATACTAGTTATCCTTCAAGTGAAAATCACACATATAAATAAGTAAGTAACAGAATAAAGTCAGAGATGGCTATTGAGGCTGAGCAGACTATTAAATGACCAGTATCAAACAACAGACGTCGCATTCAGTTTCTGATCAACACACAAGCACATTCAACTGATGAGCTCTGAATACAATGAAGCGTTCATTCTGCTTTCCGTTTCTAATTGTTACCATACAAAATTTTTATGTCTGTTGAGTTCAACACGCATATTACTCCTTCAAATAGTGAGAATAATTTAAAATATCATCTGAAATATCTTCACATAATACAGACGCTAATAATTATCTATTACTTCATAATTTGTTACTTTATAAACAGTTTTTTTAAGAAAACAAAAAATATCAGTAAAAAATAAATCTGAATAACATGAAATATGCTTCTTTTAATACCTGACTGACCTGTTTTTTTCGATTTCATATTTTATACCAAAAAGTAGGTTCGAAGAAAAGTGAGATCAACCCACTGACATCAGATTTTCGCATCCAAAATTCCTCCAAATCACCAGAGCTTACCAGTGGTCAGAAACAGCCTCATTTAAGCTGTGAGTATGGCTACAGCAGCTCGAATATCTCCGATGATGAAATTGATGATTCCGATGGTTCTAGCGAATACATCAGAAAACGTGTTGCTGAACTTAACGCTGAATTATTAAAAGAAAAGCAGTCTTCCGTTGAAGATTATCAAAAAAGGAAGCCTCGTGTTAATTTTCATTCACAGCTTGTATATTCAAGAACGATAAGTGAAAATAGCTATGAAGATTTATGCAATTCGGACAGGGACGAAAAATACCATTTAGCACAAAAAGAGCAGAATAATGATGACACAACAGATCATAAGCCAAATATTTCTATGAGATCAAGGGATTTTGGTGTAATTGAAAGTGCTACATCAAAGCAGGAAGGAATTAGCAATGTCGAGAAAACTAATGGACCATTGAACGATAGTAAGTTGTCAGTAATTCATCATTTTAATGGAATAAAAAGGCGTTGGGAAATATCTGAGTAATCCAAAGTCCTTAAAGCAACATTCTATGCATAACATAACATGCACTTCGCTAAGATGGAAGTGATTAAAAATAGTGAAAGTACATAATTTTGATGAGAGAAATGTTTCAATAACCACTGAGTTGACCAGGGCATGTACTATATGACCTCATCTATCATCTACTTAGACATACCATGTTGGTCACTGTGGGTGTTACTAAAAGGTTATTTCAGGAGGCTGATTAGTGCATCGTACCATTAGCTTCTGGTATCAATAGCGTAGAAACCAGAAGTGATTCTGACTTTAAATCTTAAGCTAAAGGAAATAGATTGGGGAAATTATTCAGTGTAATTACTATACTAATCAAATGTCTAGTGGCTACTTTTGAATAATTTTATTCAAAACCTATTTCTACCCCTTAATTTACTGACAATCATATTCTCCAGCTGTCATTCCTAAACCATATATTGATATTCACCACTACCATTTAAACGTCAGTCAAAAGAAATTCATGAGACTATCTTTCATGAGTATTAAGAGTCTTGGGAACCGACTTCTAGGAAAGTGAAGTCCAGCATCATGGACACTGAATTCAGCGTTTAAATTTGAAAAAGAAATCACGTCTATGTCGGAATGTTAACGTAAAATCACCTAGGAGAATTAGGGAATCAAAGAAGATTTCCAGTATGACAGAGATTATTCTTATTTTCAGAAAAAACAAAAAACAAAAACAGTGAAAGCCTGTGGAGCAAACCAGGATATAAATATTACGCTGGTAACTATAACATAACTTAAACTTATTTGCATTTACTAATGCGACACATAGCAAGTTGCAATGTTCGCCAGTTATTAAATCATTAGTAGCATTTCGTTTAATTCAGCCTTCTTCAAAATTATAAATGGAAAACTGTGATGTGTTTATAATCAACTCCGTGGAATCCTACACAGATGTGCAGCAGTTCGAGTCGCCACACTCCGTGTAGCACACAAAGCAAGCGAGGAGAGTAAAGAAAGATTCAAAAGACAGATAATAAAGAGGAATTTAGGACACAAGTGTAGTATTATGGAAGAACAGGAGAATTTTATCGGATATTATAAATCATAAGTACCGAATGCATCTGCGCGACTGTGAACAATTTTGAGCCATATCAACAATTGTCTTCAGATATCATTGGTGTTTACCATCCTGAGGACTCCAACCAGTCAGGCAGTCTACACCTCTCCATGTATCTGGCTGGCTTAAACTAACTGTTGTGGATTTGATTGACTGAGGAAGCCATGTTTTGGTTTGACCACCACTGGCCCTCTTCCAGCCTGATCCATCCTGTCAGCTAACATCGTCCGTCGGTCGAAGAAGGCGACAGATGGTGGCTAGGCATGCGTAACACATGTCCTAACCATCTCAATCGGTGTAACTTCACAACCTGTTCGATTGATTTCCTCTCCTCATCTAGCACTCGAGTGACGCATAACCTCAATATGGTTCACCTTATTATGCCACCTAACACGGGAGATAGAGCGCAGACACATTTTATCAAAGACAGCTAACCTCTTCGTATTCTCCACTCTCAATGGCCATGTCTCACCCACAGCCATAACGGAGGATAGAGCGAACTGCTGAGCAGTACACACGCCCTTAAATTAATAGCCAGCCGGATATCACCTCTACTAAGCCAGAGATGGCATAAGTTGGCATATGCGAAACTAGCCTTCTGTATCCCTGCTGAGGATTTGACAGGGATCCACCCGCTGGCACTGGCTGGCACATCTCTACGAATAAGTGGAGTGGTCAGCACGCTCAACCACCTCTTCACTCCCTATTTCGAAGCTAAGAGTCGATGTTGTCCAGTCAGTCCTGTAGCATCATCTTACGTTTGCAAAAGGAAGCGAATCGCATGCTAAACATTCAGAGGTTTCTTCTCAAGTTGTTCAAAAGACTCTTCGTTTTGTCAGCGTCTTCACCTAGGAGCAGGACTATATCATCCGCATATACTAGTTCGAGTATTGTTGGACGCCATTAACTATGCCTATGTTCCAGAACCTATCTAAGGGTGAAGATATGATCGATACACCCTCTTCCTGATCTAATGCCTTCCTGGTTCTCTCGTGTTTGTTCCTCTCGAGCACCACTTAGTCTACGCATGACTATCGAGCCTAGAACTTTAGATGCCACCATACTACTCAAGCTAATCCCCCTGTGATTTTCACAGGAAGACTTGTCTCTTCTTGGATATCGAGATAATCAATGACTTACAGAAGGTCGACGGGGCCATCTCTGATTCCCAGACTCTGCCTAACACCTCAGTTAACACAGACAGTAAACTATCTCCACCGTCCTTGAACAACTCTGGAGTGATTCCATTAGGTTCTCGCTGCTTTGCCTCGTCTCAGACTAGTGATAGCTTTTATAACCTCAGTTAGGGACAGAGGACCTGTGTTTATATGTCATTCAGGGGGTGTTGGATGCTGAACAAGTTGAGCGTGGCTGTATGCTTATTAAATTGCTCCTCAAAGTGTTCTTTCCAACATTCCAGTCGTGCACCTTGAGTGCTAATTAAGGTGCTATTTTCCTCGGAGATTGTTTCACTAATCATTTGCCCTTCTCCACCTATTTCTCTGATTAGTCTAAATAGTTGTCTGGTGTTTCCTATTTCCGATGCCTTTTTCATCTCTTTCGCCTTTGTCACCCACCACTGTTCACGGCCTTTGCAGAGACTTCTTGTTAGTTTGCGTTTGAGCAGCTTTCGCTCGTCATCATAATCTGAGCTCGTTGGAATCAGTCTTCTTGCGTCTATCAATTCAGATGAGGTAGTAGAAATCCACTGGCTCTTACTAGGTTAGGTTTTAAGTTACTAACAACCTTTACAGGTGTGTGTATGCCCACAGCCAACTGTATATTGTGCCAGACTTCCCCTGGACGTCAGTTACTGGTTTCGCTATTTCTTCCTTAAATAGGGACTCAGTGTCTTGATCTCCTTCCTATTTGGGGGAGGGGTGCATCTGCTTCTCTGCCAACAGTTTATGTTCATTTAATCGTAAGCATAAACGTGCGTGAAACAGGGTGTGATTGGAGTCTATGCATGTGTTCCAGTAGGAGCGGCAGTATTCTACTGACCCTCGCCAACGATGCCCTATTCCTGTGGGGTCTATTTGAGTCCGACGTTGATTTGGTGATGGAGGTCACCAGGTTAGGTAATTTCTGTCTTTGTGCCTAAGGTTAGTGCTGACTAGGAGCAGATGAATATCTCAACAAAACTGTAGAAGACGATCACCGTTGTCGGTTCGTCGACAGGGAACTCCACCAATATACTTCTCAGCCTGGCATAACTCGCCTATTTGGGTATTGAAGTTGCCTGCTAAACGAGCTATATCTGAGCGTTTTGCTTTTTGCAGCCAACTAGATAGTGTCTGGTAGGAGTCATCTATTGGTTTATCCAAACTACAGTCGATTGGAACGTAATCGGAGACTGTGAAAGACAACGATGTGTAATACCGTCCTGACGGATAGCACTCATACGAATATCTGCTGGGATCCAGTCAAGAAGTGATTTCTGTGCCATAACACTCAATGCTATCTTCACACCTGTGAGTCCTCATGAACTAGCTGAGGAGTCTCCTGATATCCTCAAGGTGAAGTTTGTAGATTCACGGTGTTCGCCAGATGGAATTAAGTGTATTACCACACTCGGGTCTTCTATGCGTGTCTCCGAAGCACAACATATAGCGACGGCTCGAGATGACCAGTGATGCCTGTTGTCCGATGTGGCAGGGGGTCCTGACGTTGAATGCGCTAATATGAAGTTCGTGGTGTGGCTTTATAGGCTGTCGGGGCTTTTCCTGAATCTTATCGTTATTTGTAGTCACAGAATGAAATGAAGATGACTGATTGGACTGTGGAATAGTACTGACAGTAGAAGGGAAGCAAGGTGATGAGGGTGATAGAGATAAGGGAGGAGGATGATCAAGAGGGCATCATGTGCTTCTGAATGTGTGTGGGTGGTTGTTTCTTCCCGCCTGACGACACCGTGGAAGTCGATTTTTTCTTGGGGTTCCTGAAACAGATCCCAAAGGACAACTGCTTGAAGCCAGTCACACGCAGCATGGAAACCCTGGGTTGATGAGGCTATTCCTTCTTAATAAGTCAATTATCGAGTGGATAGAACCGATCAGGGTCCTGTCAATCAGTACGTCTGTAATGAGATTAAATAAAAAGGATGATATTCAATCAGACCCCATCGGTTTTCATAACTTCAAATGACAATTCTCCCGTAGCTCTTACATGAATGCGTGAGTGTGAGTACAGTGACTATATTATCACAATACACATTCTCAGTATTCCCCTCATGGCTGTATTTTCCTACTGTAGCTCTCAATCGCCGAAGTCGAATTCCGCCCTCAATTCGAAGAATATTGCGTGTGTAGAACATCTGTAAGTATTCCTACTTTCCACAAACTGTCGAAGGGTGGACATATGACCGAAACACCACTAAACGCACCTAAAGCCTACATTTCAGACCCCAACTAGTCTCTGTACGACATTCGGCCCTAAAAGCTACGGTATTAAATGAGTCAAGCTGGTCTCCTCTTATTAACACAGAAAACTTTTTCACAATCTTTTATAAACTTGGATGACCAGCAACGAACACTAGTCCGATCGAACTTCCCCGCGTTTCCGTAAAATGACTACAATATTAGTAATTCTGGTCAGTAACTCATCACGATAGTCCTATTGCTTCGTGCAGTCTTAGATTACAGAGAGCATTTGAAACCTCAGCTACAGTAGGAGGATTGCTTTTTAAAATCCACTGAAGTAGATGATTGGAACGCTTAGCGTGGGTGAAGCATAGTTGAACTACATAAAGTTTTTCACACAATACTCAACTAGGATAGTTTAAAAGGTTAAACAATGGCGTCTCCTACAGAAATCGTTTGACTTATATTTAATTGTCAGCAATCGTA